GCTAATTAAACCATTACAAATGGAACTTGTCTTCCATATTTGAAAGAGAAAAATATAGCATAACAGATCAAAATTTGAATTTTTAGATAATGAGCTACAATTAAATTTATTAATCGATTATAAGAATAATAGAGGCCAGCGGACTGTGAAATATTATTATGATCAAATTCAAATTGTCAAAACGAAACACTATTTGAGTATTAAGTGTTGCTGTTATTATATGGTATAGATTTTTTGCCGAGCGTGACGATTCAAGCAAACTTCCTACTCTGTGATATGCACATATCCATCAGTGGTTTCAGAAGGTAGAAGTAAAGATGACAAAGCGAACGCCGGGATGTATTATTTATTAACTGTTGAACTGAAGGAATTGAAAAACGTTGTTGCTGTATCAAGCAGTCGGGTTACGAGTAACAATGAATGAAGAGCGCGGGGGCGTCGCTCCGGGCCGCGCACCTGTAACTTAATGCACGCGATGTAAAGTCGTGTTCACATGTGCTCTATTTTTAAATTTTCTTACACACATAAATATACCCACATATTTGTTATATTACTGAGTCATTAAGAAATATTATTATATCACTTTTTCATTTTTTAAATGTTTTATTTGAATTATTAATTTAATAATTTATTTCAACCAACTATTTCTAGATACTAGATGGAGTGACGACCTGGTAAGATATGCAGGAAGTCGATGGATGCAGGTGGCTCAGGACCGTGCTTTGTGGCCTATGTTCAGCAGTGGACTTGTGAAGGGCTGTAATGATGATGATGATGATGAACTATTGTAAGTCAATTGAATATAATAAAGTGGAATATAATTAAATTGAATTGAATTAAATTAGATAATTATTGTTTGTGCATAAATTATGAGAGGGACTACCTATTGATATACAGGATTCCTAGTACATGAGTTAAGGTTTAATAGGACCATGTGAATTATTTTTATTTGTGTTTTAATTTTTGCCGTCATATAGTGTTGAACGGGAGTGAAATATCACCAACTCTCTGTCTCCGGGCTGCTGCAGAACTTCTTGACAGGAAAACCCTATAACTAATTTTGACCACTTGATCACTCGCGTTTAGGAACACTACAGTGAGGGAGTCAAGTATTGAGTACTACAGATATCAATCCTCTTGCCAAACAAGACGATGAAGTCAATCCTTTGTGGTAGAATCATACTGCAGCTATAACTTAGTTGTAGCACAAATGATTAGCTCAACCCTTTTTACTGGCTATGAGGACCATTTTAATCTTTAGGCGTGACAACGCATCTGCATTTAGATTTTTAATTGAGGAAATTTGTATATGTCTATGGGCCACAGCATCCACTTATCATCAGGTGGGCTGTGTGCACGCTTGTCATCCTTATTCTATTTTAAGAAATCCTGCTTGAAACCGGAGGGCTCATATCCAGCTGTAGATCTGTACGGGATGATCAAGCGCTGGCAGAAAACTTTGTGCACCGGCAACTGCATTCAATCCACGCTGGTACCACTATATTGTTCATTCCAATATTAAGCGTTGATTTACGACTTGCTTGACTATGAAAGGAAAACATCGTGACTAAACTTTAATACTTGAAAATTTTCGAAAGAGGGCAACATATGTATACAGTAGAACTTGCTTGACTATGAAAGGAAAACATCGTGACTAAACTTTAATACTTGAAAATTTTCGAAAGAGGGCAACATATGTATACAGTAGAACTTGCTTGACTATGAAAGGAAAACATCGTGACTAAACTTTAATAATTGAAAATTTTCGAAAGAGGGCAACATATGTATACAGTAGAACTTACTTGACTATGAAAGGAAAACATCGTGACTAAACTTTAATACCTGAAAATTTTCGAAAGAGGGCAATATATGTATACAGTTATATTAGTGAATTAGCGTAACTAATCCTTATTACATGCATAGATTATTGCATAGGTTTATTTTACATAATATCGTAAATACTATAATAATGGAATACTCTTAAATAAACACTACAATAATATATTATATAAGGTTCGGGTTAAATAATACTGATGAAAAAAAATAAGGCCCTATGTGAATACACCCGTAGTCTCGTTGCACGTCGCCTGTGATTACCTGCGAACGGCCTCCGTTTAACCGATTCCTTTTTTAAAACTCGACAGTCCTGTTTTAAGAACTTGCGCCATTTATTCCCGCGTCTTCCTCATTTTGAATTTGGAACGGACAATGGCCATTGCTTTCCGCGGGCTCTTATTTTTTCTCAACTTGGACCCAAATTGGGCCAGTTAAGTCATGCAAGCGGTTTGTCACTTAAGTGAAGACCAGTAGTCGGGACTTCAAACCTCTTTTGTCGTAGCCTCCGAGGTTTCCAAATAAGGCGTAAGAAAACAATTCGTTACGTATTCGGCCTCCTTTTTATTTTTTCCGTCGATGGCAAATTGAGAAAATTGTGGAGACGGCGTTCGTCATTATTACTTTGTGAATTGTTATTAGCGTCCCAAATTAATAAGCACTGATGAGATCTGATGAAAATGATCTCATAAAACAAAATGGAATACGAATTTAAGGCTTACTTAACCTATTTTTATACATACTGGAATTTAAAACTATGTATTAAAATATGCAAAATGAAATTTGAGCGTTATTTTGATGCTGTTTTTCTTAAATAAATCTTAAGCGACCATACAACCCCGATAAGATCTTCTTGCGATTTTTCATAAACAATAGCCATTTTAATATCGAAAAAAGGTAAAAGACTATAGGCTATTGATAATACAAAAAATGCAATAATAAATTACCAAGCGGTGGGTAATAAACCGCGATTTGCTTCGGGCGACTTGGAGAGCTACCAGTACGTCGTACAAAGGGAATAAAAAGTTTAAAATAATACGCTTCATATCAAAGAAGGTGTAGTTCGTTAATGCATTCGCAGCCTTAAGGCTGGCTCGTCATTTTGGAATTGTTTTCTGGAATGCGACTTTAAAAACGTAGCGTTCCATTTTTGAAATTTAAATTTTGATTTTGTTTCTCGCGTAGCGTCGCGTATTGTTCGAGTTTTGAATTAATGATTATTTGTTTCATATCCACACGGCTCTATTTATATAACTGTGAGAATTATTAGTACCAAGTTTGAAGACCGGAAAAACACCGTTCTTTTAAAGATAAATACAAGTATGCTCTGCGTGAGATTGATTGAATACTTATAATGATAAATATTATTTTTATATTTTGCGTAATTTGAATATATTTAATGAAGATCTACTGGTTTACAATGTTATTTTCCCTTTATCTAAGTGTTTAAATGTTCGTTTTATATACAAAATAGTTGTGCAAAATAACTTAAGACTGGTATATAATGTGTCGATCTCCTACTGCGTTAATGTTATTTATAACTGGGATCAGTGCTGAGTAGGTAATTTATTTATCATCTTTAAATCGTCCAATAAAATCATGAGTAACCAAATTTAAAAAAGTCGTAAATACTTTGATGATGACCTTATCAATTGAAAAAGTATTTCTTACTATCTCAGAAATATTTTTATACATTGTGCACAAATAATAGTACATGACTACATATTTTCTTGTAGTTAAATGAATTTACCATTTGTGTATTTAAACAATATTATATTAATTTATTATATAATAGTATTTTTTTACTATTTTAAGACAACTTCTGATGATGCAGCCGAAGATGGTGAAGCGCACTGACTTAACAAAAGAATATTCTCTCTTGCCTTGAAGACACCCACATTATAATCGAATGAAAAGACACATTGACAGTTCGAAACGAACGGGTGGAGACTGGCTGATCGAGCGTCTGGCTGTCCGATGGTGCAAGGGAGAGATCTTTGATGAATTAGACTTCGTTGACTGGTCTCCAACTGTGCATTTCCATTTGTGTTTTACTCGAGTGTATGCGAAGTTACAGTGGCACTCACTATTTCCTCACTCATATAGTTCAATGGGATTATAACCCTACTCGACCGGAGATCAGGCGTAGGATTAATGGTTTTACGTGCTTTCCGGTGTGATACACCACCAACTTGCTTGGCTTGTCATGACTCTGGGCTCCTAATATGAATTTTTTGACATAATAATTCAACTAATTTTGGCCTAACTGGAAATTAGAACCCGGGACCACATGATCAGCAGACACGCACACGACCACTAGAATAACGAGGCAACCTAGTTGAGACACGATTAAGAGTAACAAATTAAATTATAATATGATATTATATGTTACTTATGAAGGGCTGTAATGATGATGATGATGATATAATATATGTAATTAATTAATTTATTTATTTGTTAAGCTTAATAGGTGCAACATGATGTATAGGCACACTTAATGCCTGATGCAATCTCTACCAATCAACTTTTAGGTGACCCAGAGATAAAAGTATTGAAGTAGATGTGTGAAACGTTAAAAGATAGAAATATACATTAAAGTAAAATATGAACATGAAATAAAATAATACACATACCCATACATATACTTGCATATCAATATTATTTAATAGGTACATGAATTAACATAGATTATACAAAAAACATAAAAAATTACATACATTTTTTTATTTACTTTATATAAATATAATTATTATATAATTATAATATACGACGTAGAGCCATGCTGGGTCAATGGGTCCGCTCGACTGAGAAAGGACCACGCTCTCACAGAATACCAGCGTAAAATAGTAGCTACTGTTGAAACAAGGCATTCCATCTTAGTCCCCACGGGTGACAACGCATCTGCATTTTGATTCGTAATCGGGGATAGATGTAGATATCTATGGGCCACAGCAACCACTTACCATCAGGTGTACTGTGTGCTCGTTGGTCACCCTATGCTATAAAAAAATAGAAATGTGCTACTAATGAGATGATTCCGCCAGTTTATTTAAATAATTTTCGCGAATTTTTTTCATGAATGCATTACTATTGTATTAATTGATATTTATCTGTTCATGATAGTGTTAATCACGTAAATTTTCCACTACTTACAATTACTATGTATGCTATGAAATGGATTTGTGATTGATAATAAAAAAGTCGAAATGGCCGTACAGTGGGGAAGGATCATTTTCAACAGTGAACTTTAAGACCTAAAGAAATAAAAGAAGAAAATAGATATTATACAAATATTTAGCTTATATTGTGTATATGTAATCGGCTCTGGAGATGCTTAATATTCTATAGATAACGCATGACGATTGCGACAATCGCACCCTATTAAGTAGAGACTCACACTGAGAGGTGAACAATTTATATGCTTATTTACTTTCATATGAACCTTTACGATTTAAATCTCAGAGATAAGGCAAGACAGATAACTTAGACCAACATAAGAGTACACAATTGAAAAGTTCTCAGCTATCTGAAAACGGCAAATAGATAAAGCTACTTTCTCACAGACAAATTCGATGTGCATAAAATAGACAAATATTCAAAATCGTTTAGAAATTGCCAAAGTTAGCGGTTCTATTGCAAATTGCCGTGCCTTGCGACAGGGCGGGTCATGGCAATTTGTCGGTCGGTAACGAGCAACAATACGCGTTTCGGTCGCATGCCCCCTGCTAGCACGCATTTGTATTGCGCGCATGCCTTGCGCTACGAATACCTGAAGAGACACTGAGGGAATTTTACTTAGTAATTTTAATGTGAATTTGCACGCAATTATATTGAATATATTTTAGTAGAATCTGGCGTTACTTTGCAGAAATCTATTATATCAAAGATGTTAAAATTTCATTTGCTAAGATAAAAATGATATGTCTTACTTAGTTTTAAGAGCAACTCCAGCCCTCCCTTAACTGCGTACACTATCCCCGTCATCACTACTCCCAGCACCATAACTTCCAACACCACTACACTAGGAAAGACACAACACCGTCGATAATACGACACGTGTTTCGCCTCTAGAATCTTGGTGCCTTAGCGGATAGTGCACGCAATTGAGAGATGTCGGGAGATGCTCTTCAAAATAGGCAAGATTCATCGTTTTATTGTATAACGCGGATCATCATCATCATCATCATCTTTACAGCCCTTCACAAGTCCACTGCTGAACATAGGCCTCCCCAAGTAATGCCACAAAGCACGGTCCTGAGCCACCTGCATCCATAGACTTCCTGCATATCTTAGCAGGTCGTCACTCCATCTAGTGGGGGGGTAGTCCTACACTACGCCTACCGGTACGAGGCTGAAACTCGAGAACCTTTCTTCCCCATCGGTTATCGGTTCTTCGAGCTATATGGCCAGCCCATTGCCACTTCAGCTTGTGTACTATTCCGTTGGGCTATGTCGGTCACTCTGGTTTTACTGCTGATATCTTACGCGGATCACAGTAAATTAATTTTTAACTTTTTTAACCAATGTGTTTTGTTAGCCAGCCAGTCATTTATTATTTGACACCACAATTATAGTATGTTTATTTTTTATAAAATTGAAATGTCATATGAACTTACAGTCCACTTGATGGTAAGTTGCTGCTGCATAAATAAAGTAAGGAGGTAATACCTACCCAGAGGGACACCTAAAAGGTGTCCTAGTTCTATAAAAATCTTCCTTTAATTGAATGAGAAGATTTCCCGACATTTATAAAATTAAAGGCCATAAGTTTTTCTTGGCTTTACCCAATGTTCAAGTTTACGACATCTTCGACTTTCTATCTTGAAATAAGACTTATTTTTTCTTGTTTAGCTATTTTGTAACCATTTAAAACTATTTATACAATTCTGTCACCAATTTTGTTTTGTTTTTTAATATTATTAAAAAGTGAATGCCAAGGCTAAATTTGAGGGGCTCTATTATACCTACTTTCCCGTGTGAGAATCATACGATACGATATAATTAATAACTAATACTATAAGCTTGTAGTGGTGGTGTAAAAGTATTGGTGGGTGTCGTAAGAGGCGACAGTGAAAAACAAACCAGGAGATGGGTAGCAGCGTCTTCCTTATAACGATAAGCGTCTTCCTTATAACGATAAGCGTCTTCCTTATAACGATAAGCGTCTTCCTTATAACGATAAGCGTCTTCCTTATAACGATAAGCGTCTTCCTTATAACGATAAGCGTCTTCTTTATAACGATAAGCGTCTTCCTTATAACGATAAGCGTCTTCCTTATAACGATAAGCGTCTTCCTTATAACGATAAGCGACTTCCTTATAACGATAAGCGTCTTCTTTATAACGATAAGCGTCTTCCTTATAACGATAAGCGTCTTCCTTATAACGATAAGCGTCTTCTTTATAACGATAAGCGTCTTCCTTATAACGATAAGCGTCTTCCTTATAACGATAAGCGTCTTCCTTATAACGATAAGCGTATTCCTTATAACGATAAAAACTGCGGTTGTCGACTTGCGTTCCATGCGTAGCAACTATGACAAATATCCCACTATGAGGCAGTAAGGGTAGTCTATGTCCAGCAGTGGACTTTAATAGGTTGTAATGGTAATATGTGAGAATTAAACCCGCAACCGGTGGAGATAGTGAAACGCTTATTTACTACCAACTCGCAGCAATAAAAGGCATTTTTCATAATTTTTTTTATAGGAAAAGTGTGACAAGCGAGCACACAGTCCACCTGATGGTAAGTGGTTGCTGTGACCCATAGACATCTACATCTATCCTCGATTACGAATCAAAATGAAGAAGCATTGTCAGTCTTGAGGACTAAGATGGAATGCCTCTTTTCCAGTAAAAAGGGTATCCGGTTCTCTACACTCACCATATGAAACACAGCGGCATTAAGCTGCTATTTGACGATGGTATTCTGTGAGAGAGTGGTAGTTCCCCGGCCGAGCTGACCCATTCGTGCTACAACTATACAATTAACATAGCTGAAGCGTGGCTCTACCACGTAAATAAAAATTATTTTACTCCCTGTGTGCCACGCACTTAGGTTCGTACACACCGAGATCGGTCGTTACGCCTAACTAAGTAACAAACTATCGGTTATCCATTAAAGTTATTGTGTTTTCTTTTGACAAATGCGCGAGCGCATCGCTCGTTAATACAACGCTGTTACTTGCCCTTACGCCTATTGTATGTCTTTCGATTCATTGTTTCGTTTTTTGGTTAGAGTGGCTCTATTAATTTACAAGTGTGGAGAAAACTGATATCTCGATTTGTGTTGCATTCTTTAAAAAAAAAAAAAGAAAAAAATGCTATATGCTAAACAATATTGGATATTTCATTATTAAGTTATAGAAAAAATAGTATTCTCAACAAGCAGTTCTGGTTCCAGATATAAAATTAAAGTGAATTTTATTCTTACAGTAATGCATTAACACTTTGTCGCTGAGACGTAAAATTATCTTTCACCCTGTTTCATACCATGGTGTCGTAAGGGTTCACTAAATAAATCGCAAAGGATATATTTCTGAAATGTATCCTACTTTGGTTGTATATAATTTTTTATAAGATAGGGTAACAAACGAGCACACAATCCAGCTGATGATAAGTGGTTGCTGGGGCCCATAAACATCTACATCGATCCTCGATTACGAATCAAAATGCAGATGCGTTGTCACCCGTGAGGACTAAGATGGAATGCCTCGTTTCAAGTAAAAAGGGTCTCTGGTTCTATACACTCACCACACGAAACACAGCAGCATTAAGCTACTATTTCACGCTGGTATTCTGTGAGAGCGTGGTCCTTCCCCGGTCGAGCCGACCCATTCGTGCTACAACTACACTACTAATATAACCGCAGCATGGCTCTACCACGTATAATTATTGTTTGACAACTGTAAAAAATATCACTGTTATTCTAATATATGAATAACTTATAGTGGTGTAAGCATATCCACTACGCCATATCATCCCGTGGGTGTCCTAAGAGGTGACAGAGGGAATCATATTAATTATTTACGTGGTAGAGCCATGCTTCACCTATATTAATTGTATAGTTGTAGCACGAATGGGTCGGCTCAACCGGGGAAGGACCACGCTCTCACAGAATACCAGCGTCAAATAGCAGCTTAATGCTGCTGTGTTTCGTATGGTGAGTGTAGAGAACCGGAGACCCTTTTTACTGGAAAAGAGGCATTCCATCTTAGTCCTCAAGGCTGATAACGCATCTGCATTTCGCAAACGAGAATATATGTAGATGTCTATGGGTCGCAGCAACCACTTACCATGAGGTGGACTGTGTGCTCGCTTGTCACCCTTTTCCTATAAAAAAGAGCAGGAAATGGGCAACAGAGTCTTCTTAATAACTACTAAAATAAAAAGGGCGGTTGGCAATCCACTTACAAAGCGTAGCAACTATGGCAAAAATTCTCCATATGAGCCAATTTATGGGGAAGGTCTATGTCCAGCAGTGGAAATAATACTAGTCTTTACGGAATTTATCGCGTATATTTTAACTTTTTAAATACCCGACGTTTCGAACGCTTTACACCACTCATGGTCACGGGCAGGACTGAGATGTTCAACGTCCATATGTCATAGTTAACCGCGGTTACCATAGATTAAAATTTAACTTTTGTTCCGATCTATGCAGTATGAACTTATGGTATCTTGAAGTCTTGCAGTTGTATGCTTGGGTTGGGATTTAATTTTATTTATTATAGGATCCCAAGCAGATGGTAGCACCCAGCCATCTTCTCTATTGAAATTAGGATGTTTTTTGATTTCAATAGCCTCGCGAATCATCCTTGGAAGGAATCGGTGTTCTTTAGCGAGGATCTGCGGTCTATCAAATCTGATGTAGTGACGGGGGCGATCCTGTACGTGTTCACAGACTGCAGACTTCCCGGAGCGTCGATTCTTCACATCAGCTATATGTTCGAAACGTCGGGTATTTAAAAAGTTAAAATATACGCGATAAATTCCGTAAAAACTAGTATTATTTCAATGTGTACGGGTATTTAAAAAGTTAAAATATACGCGATAAATTCCGTAAAAACTAGTATTATTTCAATGTGTAGTGTTCGCGTAAATATAAGAAATCATTATGTAATCCAGCAGTGGATTTTAGAGTGCTGTAACGGTAACGGTCGTTCTATTACGCCACCACATGGCCAAAATAAAAATCTACAACCGAAAGTAAAAATTAAAAAAAGCCCTGTTAATAGGCAGTCAGTCGTCAATTACGATTTCATGTCGTAGTCTGCGGTCGACACGTCACATCAATTTGTCCGAAGACTGGTATCAAATTAGACGCAACCATTGGAAACGGGTATCGGTCGTTGTCCACTGGGAATTCGGGAGCTTTGAACTTTTTTATTATCCTGTTATTGTGTGGTGTACCACGTATGACGTTCTAAATAATAATATAGTTATCCCAACACCGGTATAATTGGCACTTTGACTGCATAATATCGTAACCATTAACCAACCAACCAACCAATACCAAAACCTTTACTTGGTAGAGCCACGCTGTAGTTATATATAGCTATAATCATAGTTGTAGCATGAATGGGTCGGCTCTACCGGGGCAGGACCACGCTCTGACAGAAAACAAGCGTAAAATAGCAGCGTAATGCTGCTATGTTTTGTTCCCTTTTTACTGGAATCGAGGCATTCCATTTTAATCCTCAGGGGTGACAACGCATTCGCATTTTGATCCTTAATTGAGGATAAATGTATATCTACATTCTATGGGCCACAGCATCCACTTACCATCAGGTGGACTGTGTGCTCGTTTGTCAATAATTTCATATAATCAATTCTATAAAAAAATGTAAGTAATATTCTGCAATAAATCCTTAAGAGTAATCAGAAATTTTAATGTATTAAAAGTAATCTTTTAAAAATATATCAAAACTTTTTAAGGACTACCTCGATTTATCCTCCCGCTTTGTAAAACTAAAAAATAGTCCTTACTCGGGTTCGAAATGGAACAGCACATGTGGCAGTATATTTTCTCTCATCGAATCTCATCGAATGAAGTTATTAACAGTATAATCGGAGTAACTGATGTAGCTCAACGGGTCAAGAACCTGAAGAGGCAACAGACGCCATATGGGATTAAGAAAGCAATGCTTCGGTAGTTTACTCAAGTAGAAAGAATAAATGAGCAAAGAGCGACAAAGGAAACTTATGTTGCAGAGTCGGAAACGGATGTCTTAGGCGAAAGAATTTTGAAAAAAATATTGAAAATGGGACAAATTAAGAGTACCCGTCGAGCATGTATGCGTAGATATATGGATGTGTAGGAGGCGAGAGAGGTGGGTCAGGATTGTGGCAAATGGAAGTTTGTAGTATCTGCCTACCTCTCTGAGTGAAAGGCGTGAATGTTTATGTATATGTATGTATGTTTAGATACGATATATCTGTACTGCGGTCATCAAATTCTCCACTTATCGTATTTTGGTGATAACAGCATTTTTCGCTACTATGAGTTACCACTGTTCTTGTCACTGGAGATTAGCACTTGACTTAAATTTATATAGTGCACAAGAAAACATTCAACCTCCGCCACTAACAATGAAATTTGATGGTCATTTCAGATGTCGTGAGAGAACGTGTATAAATTTTTTGAAGACATGTTTTAAAGTCTTCCAACACACAATGGGAATCTCTCAGAAGGCAGGTGACTAGCAGACCTAAATAGAATAAAAACGTTTCGAATTTGAATTTCAAATAGCACATAAATAAGACGATATTATGATTCTAATTATTTTTCTTATGAAATCAGTCTTTTATTCTTTGATAGTCACCTATCAAGCTCTGAAATGTCGCATTCCGGAGAGCGTAAAGATATTACCATAATTATTTTATAACATATGATTGAACGTTGGCCATTGCTTACCTAAAAGTAATATATTTATGTATATCGAGAATATTAAGATGGTTATATCACTAAATTTATTACTACATTATTTAAATTATATTTAAACGGAAGCTTGAATGATTACTACCGTTGTTGATAAACGGCCAGATCTGGACTTTAGTTCAATGGTTCTGTGAACGCTTGATACCAGGAACGGTTCGGGATAAGAAGCGGAATAATCTGGTTCGGCATTTCCATACGATTCGCATTGGAATCACGCGCGGTCTTCACCCAGCCGATAGGAGCCGATCGAAGCGATCATGGTGCATTGTGGCGACGATTAATAGAACGTCTACCTTTATTGTAAGTTAATGCTCTGGGACACGACTTTCCGATATAAACGACACACAGCCATGTAGTTTCGTTAACAAATAAAACAAATATCAGCCCAAATTGCAAAAAAAAAAATACCTAGAAAAATTATCAGTAAAATGACAAAAGATGTCAACTGAAGTTTTAATTTTAAATTCCTTGATTATGTGAATATCAAGGCGTTTAAATTATTATTGAAGTTAATTTGCAAGAATTATTATTTTATTGATGAGATTTATTGCTGAATAATCTAATTAACAACTCTGCGAAATACTGCAGAAGCATACCGTACCATATTATTCCAAATGTGAAAAAGCAAGACCGATGGAACAATTGATAATCCGTGTTAAGTTTTTTTTTTCGTATAAAACTGAAGGGGCAACCGAATTTACAGTCTATCTGCAGCCGGTTTAAAATAATGAAGACTACAGGTACTACTTTGTGACCTCTCAGAATGATACATAAGTGAGCTATTGTAATAGATACCAAAATCCAGCAGTGATCTGTAACTGTTGATAAGGAGCAGAAAAAAAAAATAAAAAAATATCTAAAATAAGAAAGTTAAATTGCACAAAAGAATCACCGATATTTTTTTTTTTGTTGATTGTATTACATTTTTATAAAGTTAAGATCGATGTGAATTGTTCGTCAAACTTTTATCCTCCACGTCAATAAGTCGATTTGCGAGAATGGTGATGCAGCCTCTACAGGAAGCCTGCACCTTTTGTTCTCCACTTGAAATGATAAAAACGTCAAGAATCCCGCCACGACTATTGTTTTGCAACCAGTTGTTGCTTCTTTCTCATTTTATTATTTGTTTATTGTTGCGTGTGGTGGGCTGCAAGTAGACATCGCCCTTATAATTTTATACAAAACAATTGTGCTGGTATAAACGAGTCGATCGTAAAAGCTTGATATATTAATTTAAAGTACGCAATAAGCATTTGAGAAAAAGCTTTTTTATTTTGATGATGACAATAATAAAATCTATTTATAAGCAAAGTTTACTAAATATTTTAGCGCATTGGATTTTGTAAATGAAAAATTTTATCTTAGTGTGTTTATTATATAAAATATTATACAATTATTTATTTTTTATTTTTGTTTAATGTTTTATAAAGGGTTTTATCGGCAAGGTTTTGAGTACCTATTTTTATAAATGTAATTTTAAAAAAATATAAGTAATTAGTTAATTTGCATAAACGGGTCGCTTTGGGTTCCAAAAAGTAAGTAAAGTTACAGCCTA